CTTAATATCCAGTTTCTTGACTTGTTGATCCTGCCTGTCTCAGTGAATGATGTCTTCAACATACAGTCATGTGATTTCATTCTCTGTTCATCATCCCAGTTTGCATCTTCTGGTTTCAATGATCAGTTAAACTGTCTCGATAATCAAGTTCTTGTCTATCTCCTAGCTGTATCTTGGATAACTGACCCATCTAAACTGAGTTTAGGGTTTAGTCTACCTCTCACTTGTGTGACAGGCACAGCAGAGGAGAGGAGAGATGGGGGGGCAACACCAGGTATAGCTTCCCCCTGAGTCCTTCCTGCTCAATTTGATTTCCACCAGCCTACCTATGTTCCACCACCAAACTACCCATACCCATGGTGAGTCACATCCAACACGATGGCCGGTTAGCTGCCGACCCACCTGTCATTCAATGACTGCCTAGCACCTGGTCCAAACTGCCTAGCAACTGGTTCAAACTTACTCCGACCAGCTCTAGACAGGTCCACACTTCACCTCATTTGGATGCGGGCTTCTCACCAACTGGCCTAGCTCAGTTGGTACACCCACGAACTGTTGAAATACAGACCTGAGTTCGAACCACAGTGGAAGCAGAGGGGAGTGAAATTCTACAATTCTGAATTACCTAGGGCTGGTCAGTTCAATGAAAATATCTCAAGGCTGTCGCGCTTTGAAAAATAAAAATAAAAAGAGCCACGGTACAGGGCTTGGACTTTGATGTCTGAGAGCGTCTTCGCATTGCATTGAATGAAACCACATTCTCCGCCGCTTGTGTGGCCCTGTCCCAAGAATTAAGACCCACTCATTTGTTGATCCTATATCACAATCTTCGCCCTGGTACAGACCATCTGTTTTTCTTTCCTTTAGTAGAACAGGACCTTATGTACCTGGCTCCAGAATGAGACCATATCCATTATCGTGAGCACCAATGCGGTTCCTTTTCCACCAGCAAGTTACAGGAAATACGACCTATGACACACCCACACTCCATGAGAGCAAAACGAAGGACATCCGACGTGCATTGATTGGTCCATTTCAAGCGGGATTGACTGTCAGCTACCATCTTCCCCCGAACATAATGCACCCTGATAATGAATGAATACAAGCTATATTTCCTGCCAAGGACAACCATATTGAGGGTGTGTTGTGCTCGGGGGAAGACAGAAGCCTTTTCCTTCTTGAACTCCTCTTGCTCCCTGCCTCACCGGGACCATCAGATCAAAACATGAAGCCAAGAATTCTCAGAAAGTCATGCTTGACCCGGTTCCCTCTGCTGTCGTTCAGCACTGCTTTGTGTTCTCAGAATGTCTCTCTTTTTCCTCTTGCATGAAACAAGAACCCAGACAGCAGTATTCCTTGGGCCAGTGAATCACACAGAATAATAGCTAATAATTACGTCCAGCTTGGATCTTAGCTTTCTTGTGCCCGGTTTTCGTGAAACCTGATTGCCGTCAGTGACGCGTATCAATCGAGTTTCACAAAAATCGGACACAAGAAAGAGAGAGAGACACAGAGAGAGAGAGAGAGAGAGAGAGAGAGAGAGAGAGAGAGAGAGAGAGAGAGAGAGAGAGAGAGAGAGAGAGAGAGAG